CCAACACCTTCTCTACTGTGGGGAAGTCTCCCCTGGGCCACAAACAGAAGGTGCAGTACTTGGATCTGATGGCAGAGGGCAGTGTATGCACAAAATACAGACACCAAGGAGTTACAGGGTGTCCCCCAAAAAATGTATGCACACTTTGAATACTTATTAATTCCAATGGGTTAAATCTGTAAAGAAAGAAACATCAATTGAGCTTTCAGCTGTTAAAGTGTGTATATATTTTGGGGACACCCTGTATTTTACCTGCTTGGAAATAAGCAGTTGGTGACTGGACGGTGGATGTGTGTTAGTGAACAGACCCAACCCCCGCTGCCCTGCACTTAGCCCATCTCAGCCAGGGCTCTGGGCACAGTCCTGCTGTGGATCGACTGGTCGTGAACCAATGCCTGGCCGGCAAACACAGAGGGCTTCACAAACACGCTTCAATGACAAGTATTATTAAAACAACTAACATGTATTGGCTGCAAACTGAGTTCCAGGCACTGTATTTTTTTCCATTATCCCTTTTCACAGTCTCAACTCTCCTCTAAGGTGAGAACTTTGATAGGTAATGAGGTGTAGTGGCTGGAAGTGTGGACTATGGAATTGAACTGGGGTTCAAATCCCAACTCTGCTATTTACTAACCATGTAACATTGGGTGGGTTCGGTAAGCTCTCTGAGCCTCGGTATCCTTGGTAGTGAGATGGAATTATTACAATAGCAATAATGCCTATCAGATTACTGGAAGAGTTAATTAAGTTTCCAGACATAGCATGCTTAGGAGAATTGGTACTGAGACAGTATCTGGCAATAAGAACCAGCTTGCATCAATCCTCTTTCACAAGAACAGAATCCTGCACTAGGCCACATGCAGCCATTGGAAGAGCCAGGATCTGAAGCCAGGTACCAACTCCTCAGCCAGTGGTAGGCCCAGGGGGCCACCTGCCTGAGACGGTACTGGCTTATGCCTGTTGTCTGAGGATCCAGGTCAGCATGTGTCCAGAACAAAAGTTTGGCTGACAAATTACATAAACTGTACACATGTGTATGCATAGAAAACACACTATTTTTAACCCAAATCTGTTTTATCATTTGCATGCCAAATCATCAGGACGTGCGTGTACCTTGAACTCTCTCCCCGGAGAAGGTATATTGAGTGCTGACTGTGCACCAGACTTGAGGACCCCGGAACAAGGGGCTAAGAGGGGGTGTGGGGAGGAGACAGACATGAGTGTAGCTAACATGACACTAGGAAAATAAACACCAACTTAACACAGATGAGGACGGTGCTGTGGGCATGCAGGGCTGTGAACCTGGGAAAAGCACTTAGCCATCAGGCCTCTGTTTGCCTCCCATAATATGAAGGGACAGGGGAGAGCTGTTGAGCCAGCAGCTCTAATGTTCCCTTGCATTTAAGCTTTATGACTTAATAGAACCCACCTGGAGGGACCAGAAAATGCAGGAACACGGGAGGTGGCATTTCAGCTGGGCCACAGAGGATGAGCAGGCTTTCAATAAATGGGGCATGATTTCTGTGATTGAAAAATCGTATTTTCAAAGGTCCATGGGCATGGGAAGTCCTGGCCTGCTTGGAGAAAGACTGGAGTAAAAGGGCAGGAATGATGTGGGAGAAGAAGGGGTCATGGGCACCTTGAATGCCATGCCTTCTTACCCCATTAGTTTTCCTTCACAGTAGTTACCACTACTGACACATATTATTTATTCCCGTGTTAGTTGCTTATTTTTACTCTGCATGCCAGACTGTGAGCTCTCTGAGGACAGGGTCTGCACTCGTGTGTTCACTGTAGTATTCCCAGTGCCTGAGCAATGCCTGCCTCACTAAGGATTTGTGCAGTGAGCCACTACTATGTGTACATAATAGATACAGATGCATCCATACGATTATATATACATGCAGGCCTCAAACTGCAGGGTGGAAAGACCTGGCAGAAAGAAGGGCCATTGTGAGGGAGCACTGGCAGGTAGGTTGGCCAGAGAGCGAGGAGGTGAAGGAAAAAGAAGGACTGACCACTCTAGCAACGAGAGGCAGTTGTGTGGAACACTGGGTGCTTTTGAGAACCTGATGGAGAAGACAGGCTTCAGTGTCAAGGACTCAGGAAAGCAAGAGTTAGACCAAGAGAAGTTAGAAGGGGTCATGCAGATGTTGGCATCCTGGACAACAGATTGACACGGAGAATCAAACAGCATTGAGTGTTTATTGCAGGGGAGGCAGAGAACTGGACCCGACTCCAACCAGAGGGCAAAGAGGCCCTGGGCAATGGAGGCTCAAGAAAAGCACATGGGGGCAGAGGGGCTGGCAACTGGCCACAAGGAAGCGCGCAGAGTCTGCGTCTTGCCTCTGCATTTGGGGCAGCGACCCAATGAGAGGTGGTCCAGCAGGAGGTTGCCAAGCGCACCCATGACTGGACTTCCCACACAGGCATGTCAGCCAGCCCAGGACCACAGAGAGAGGGGAGGGGACTGGGATTGTGGTTACAGGGGCAGCACTTCCTGACTTGGGAAGGGGCGGAGGGAGAAGAGATGGATGGGGTCCGCAGCTTTCTACCCTTCATCTGGAGGCCTTCTTTTTGGTTGCACAGCTGCTGCCGGAGGCTTTGGTGAGGGGATCCTTGAACTCGCTGCCACAGCTGCCTTTGGTTTTGAGCTCGGCCCCAGGTTTGTAGCTGTAACTGCTGGAGGCGCCGAAGCCCATGCTGAAGCCAGCCCCTCCAGCTCCGGCTCCCGTGTTGCTGATGACAGCTGCAATGGGCGAGAGGAGAACCCAGCCCCGTCATCCGGGCCCTCCCTTAGTTCTCTTCCCTATGGTGGCTTCACATTGAGACAGATTCTCTCTGTTGCACATTTTTAGTGAACGGGCAGATTTTCATCAGCACTGTCCTTTTTGATGCACTTGGCCTTTTCCTGTTAGGTGTGTCACTCAGTCACTATCCGACTTTAAGCTTCTGCAGGTTCTACCAGTGAATTTGCCCACAGGAAGGGCCACAGGAAGAAAGGCTTCCTGGAGGCCTGGGGCTGCCAGGGTGTTCCTGCCTGTCATAAACAGCACCTCCCCTCGCTTTCTCTAGTTTTTAAATCTGGAGGAGATTTTAGCTTTCTTTTTCATCATTTCCCTTTCAGGTCTCCCTCAATAACCTCTTGCTGTCATTCAGGGCTTTTATTGGGTCCGGTACCAGTAGAAATATAATGTAGCCATTAAGCATTATTCTTACAACAGACTCTTGGATTATACACTGTTGAGTATTATTTGATTTTCTAAGGTTATACTTGTATTTCATGATATTATTCTCTTTCTCCATCCACTGCTTCTCGTTGGTGACTAAAGCCAGCTCCCTTTTGTACCCCTAAGTCGGCCCTGAACCCACACCAGTATTCTGACTTCTCCTTGGTGTCATGGAATTAAAGGAACTCAGACTTGTGATAGGTGACCAAGGGCAGGACTGGGCCTGTAGGTACTTACAGATGCTCACAGAATTTGGATATTCACCAGACATCCTGAAGAGGAAGAAGAAAAACAGATAAACCCTCAGTAAACCATCACCCGAAGGTTCCAGGGAGTCTCCTGTGAATGAGCCTCTCTTCTCAGAACATCCCACCTCTACCCCATTCCAGACTCTTTTCTTCCCATACACCCCAGCAGGGCCTCTTCAGAAATGGAGAACCAAGATGAAAAATCTGCCACAAGGAGTCAACACTCCATCAAAGTGGATTTGAGATGACCTGATGTGTAAGATAATAGTGCCTCCACTGCCTTCTAGTTATGGTCTTAGATAAATAAGAGGAATGAGCGCACATCCTCACTGGGCCCCAACTTTGCTAGAGTGACCTTGAAAGTGAATGACTCTTGGAGGTCATCCTGCACCACGAAGGGCCAAGTGATGCTCTGTTTCTCAACCGTTGCTGAATCAGTACTTCCTCTGCTCCCACTTCTTTGGGATATTTTATAACTCAGTTCTTCTTGCTATCTAACTTCTTGCTGTCTCTCCTACGCAGTATGTTAAAGCCCATTTCTATAAGATTTTACCTCAGTAGGACCTGAACAAAACCAAACTGTTTGCTTTCAATCTTCCTACTAATGCAAAGCGATAACTGGTCCAGACAAAAGATATTTGGCCCTCACCGGCACTCCTCGCCCTCCAGCAGCTTGCGGTAGGTGGCGATCTCCACATCCAGGGCCAGCTTTGTGCTCATCAGCTCCTGGTACTCGCGCAGCATCCGGGCCAGCTCCTCCTTGCCCTGGTTCAGGGCAGCCTCCAGCTCGTCCAGCTTGGCCCGGGCGTCCTTCAGGGCACAGTCGCCCCGCTGCTCGGCATCAGCGATGGCCGTCTCCAGGTTGGAGCACTGAGGGGCAGATGAATTCATCTGAGATCCTGCTCAGACTACCTCCCCTCACTGGGTCCTGACTGACAGTAAACGCTTTGAGGTTGTCCTGGTTCCTCCACCTTTGCACATCACTAGAGGAGAATCTGTCCTTCCCCGACTTCAGGCACAGTGCACCCTAACTCATGCTGTGGCATGTGAAGGTGGAGCGTCTCTACCACAGGATGGAGGAGGGGAAGGGCACTGAGAATGTGGGCACCTGGCACGTGGCCCCTGCCCTCTCCCTCCTGGTCTGTAACATGGGCTATATGATTTTAATGCCAACCCAGAATAGTCTCTGGGTAGCTGACCTCAGTGTTGCCTCACAGTGTAAAAGGTTGTCTTGGGAGATCCTGTAAATCATGAAAAAAATTGAGGACTAATAGAGTTCCTATTAATAAAATGTCTGTCCAATAAACACTGAGAGTATGGCCTCCAAAATTTTGCAGGCCATCATGCTACATGGCAACACCTTAAGCGATAACTGGCAGGTTTTACAAGCTGACAGACGCCTGCGGTTGGGTGGAAATGTAACTTGCAGAAAGAAGCTGTAGGTGGGGCTCAGAGGCGTCCATGTGAAAGCTGGGGAGGTGGGAGTGGCACGGGATGGGGAGCTTCTGGAGCCTTTCATCTTGAGTGTGTGTTCTGGTCGCTTGGCTAAGGTTTTGGTGGGATCTAAGTGTCTGGCCTCTCTTTCTGGTGTGTCCCTTTCTCTGGAGTCACATTTGTTTCACTCCAAGGACAGCAGCTGACCCTAAGGCCATGTGGAATTCTGGCCTGCTGTCCATCTGGTGTCACTATCCTCTATCAGGTAGGCCCCCAGCCAGGCAAACACCCATTGCTTTTTGGGTGAGTGGCTAACAGCCACAGCAGACACACCTAGGACCCAGCTGCCCGACCCAAAAATAACATGTCCCATCTCAGAAGTGAGGCAGGCAAAGCCAGAGCAGAGCCCTAAGCCAAGGCGAGGGCGGGAGTCTTTTAATCCCTACTCTTCTCTAACATCCACTGCCTGATTCTCCTTCCTCCAGGAGATTCATCACATGAAACCTCCCAATGCCTTCCTTCTACCTACTGCACTGGGTCTAAACCCCACTGCCCGACTTTGAAGGCATCTCTTCCCCTCTCCTTTCTGCCTCCTATCCCAGTGTAATCCCACCCCCTTAGGCAGCTCCAGCCCCTGGGGACTCCTACAGGACTTAGTGGGTGTGCAGCACACTGGGTGGATGTTTCCTCCTTGCATATTGGCTCAGACTATTCTCTCCTGATGAATTACAAATGCCTGAAGGAAGGACCTTTTCCATATTTGATCCTATACAGCTATTGATGCTCAGTTAACCCTGTAGCTGACTCATTGCATAGAACCCACCTGCTTCTTCACACTCCCTATCTCTGAGCGGATCCTCTGGATCAGGCGGTTGAGCTCTGAGATCTCAGCTTTGGTGAGGTTGAGGTCGTCCCCATGCTGACCCGCTGTGACCTGCAGCTCCTGGATCTGAAGTTGGGGGCAAGAGAAGAGGAACACAGGACAGTTGAGCATCCACCTTTCAAGGGTGTTCAGCATGGAGAGGGAGGGCCACATGCCATTCTCATTATCTAAGCATCATAGACACAATCGAATCAAAAGAGGGAGGAGGGGAGAGAGATGGCAGAAGGGAAGGAGAGGAGGGGGAGAAAGACAGCTTTTTCCTTCTGGATACAAAGGTCCTGTCCCATCAGCAGAATCCTTGGGCTTGCAAATGTGAGAGCCTTGGTGGAGTTCAAATTTCCTGTCCTTATTTTGACAAAGTTAGGGACAGGAAGAAAAGCCAAGGCATCTGGATTATCCACAGAAATGGTATCAGAGTCATGTCAGAGCTGTGGCTGGTGTGGCCTCTGCTGTCAGTAAGGGTCATGGCAGGGGAAGGGCTAAGCTCCATATATGTCCCCAACTCATGCCAAAGCTGCAGTTGGGCTCTAGTCAGTTTGGCTCAGTGGATAGAGCATCTGCCTGCAGACTGAAGGATCCTGGGTTTGATTCTGGTCAAGGGCACATGCCTGGGTTGCAGGCTCAATCCCTAGTTCGGGGCATGCAGGAGGCAGCCGATCAATGATTCTCTCTCATCATTGATCTTTCTCTCTCCCTCTGTCTTCCTCTCTGGAATCAATATTTTTTTAACTGCAGTTGGCCTCCCTGATCCACAGAGAGGCATTTCCACAATCCCAACTGCAAGACGAAGGAGGTCTCCACCCAGCCTAAATACACATGCATGCTCATACATGCACACACAATGAGAGGGCAGCACCTGTGGTCACTGGGCACACCTTGGTCTGGTACAGAGCCTCAGCCTCCGCCTTGCTCTTCAAGGCAATCTCTTCGTACTGGGCACGGACCTCGTCAATGATGCTGTCCAGGTTCAGGTCCCGGTTGTTGTCCATGGACAGGATGACAGATGTGTCACTGATGTGCGACTGGATCTGAGCGATCTCCTGGGAACAATTAGGGGAGTGGAGCCCGTTAAAAGCTCCCCCTGGGGGGAGCATGTCTCCTGATCCTCTCTGGTAAAACCGTCGCTGTCCCTTTCTGCCCTTCCTTAGCAGAGCCCAGCAGTGCCAGTGTCTGCGGGGTGTAAGATGCACACATTGGGCTTTCAGCCTGTGTGGGACCATCCTCTCCACCATGGACTCAGGACTGCTCCCACCCCTATTTCACACTCTGCAGCAACATCCACCCTCCACCCATGCAATCAAGTCTAAACTCAGAGTGCTCTAGGGAGTTGCCAATGACCTTCTCTTTCTAGGCCCCTCATGCTTTAGCACAGGTCAGATCTCTGAGACTGTGAATTCCTGGAAGACAAGAATAATTTTTTCTCCATCATGGTTTCCACAAAACCCATCTCATAGTTCAGCACATAGTAGGGCCTCAGCTGCACCGAGTTGAAAGGCTTCTCTGCCAGCCTTTGGTCCACACAACAATCTTGGCCAAGGGCCAGAAGCCACTTGTAAGAGGAGCAGACCATGCGAAGGAGGTCAGTGAGGTCCTTACCCCTTCATAGAGGCACTTGAAGAATTTTATCTCATCTGTCAAGGAGTCCACCTTGGCCTGAAGCTCAACCTTGTTCATGTAGGCAGCATCCACGTCCTGGGAAACACAGAGAGCGGCTAGCTGACCCACCTCCCTCTCATCTGCCCTCCCTTTCTTCCTCCCTTCCTGCCATAAGAAGCCTCAGGTTCCCTACTCTCTCCACTCCCCTACCCCATGGTTCTCAGGGAGGCCCCATCCCTAAGAGCAAACCAACTAATATGCAGTGCAATGGTGCACCAGAAGTGTAACAAATGCTGGGGTTTCAAACAGATGGATTCTGGGTGCAGCATATAAAAGACTTGGTGAAAAGAGCAGGAAAATTAGAATCCCAGTCATCCCTGCCCAAAGGACTAAGATTCCCTTTCCTCGGCCAAGTCCTCAGAGAGCCCTCTAGGATTTCTCCATCCCTTCCTGCTCCCCTTACCTTCTTCAGCATCACAAACTCATTCTCAGCAGTTGTACGTCTATTAATCTCCACCTCGTACCTGTGTGGAGCAAGAGAAAGGAGAGAGCACAACCACTGGATAATTCACTTCTGCAAATGCTCACTAAGCAGTTAGTGATCATCTCTGTGCTGAGAGCTGCAGGGCAGTGGTCTTCAAACTGAGGTCATTACCTCTGGGGCATGCATAGTCTTCCTCATGGGAATGTGACAAGGACAGGCTAAAGGAATCAATTTCTAGCTCCTTAGTTCATATGCCATCTGCCCTAAGATAGATCTGCCGGGGAGATCCATGAGGGAGATGTCATGCAGGTCCCACTGTCCCACCTCCTTTTCACAGCTACCCCTCCCTGAGACAACAGAAAGATGGACCCTCCTCCATCTGGCACCTTAGTAAGGTGCACTAGCCCAGCGTGCAAAACCTCACAGACACCAAACAAAACCTTATCCCACCTGTTTCCTCTACATATCCTATTCCAGGTGCAGCAAGGTCTTGGAAACAGGTGTTTGTATGGGGTGAGATGTTCTTAATACAGTTGTGGATTGGGGAGATAAGAGTATTGATCATTCCACTTAAAGTTCTCACTATCTCATCCTTTACTATTGTCAAAGAATGTATGATAGGACAGTTGTGAGAGCAAACAACATAGAACATTGGGAAAAAATAATTAATACTAGAATATGGCTTTTTTTCATACACTTTAACATGAGCACATCTTTTCAGCTTTTATTACTTGCTAATGCAAATCACTGACTGCCAGGAAGAAAAGTCTTGTTGGATGGCTGAAGTAGTACATGTTAGTGAATGGGAATGTGATATTTTCTAAAACTGCCAGATTTTTCTAATTACACTGGATAAAACACCGAAAACAAATTATATTATTTATCTCAGATTTTATGTGTGTTATTCAAAAGATAATTGAAAACTTCTTTTTAATGACTTATGTTATGAAATAGTTGTCCTCCTGTCTGAATCTCTCTCCCTCCCTTAAGGGAAAGAAAATTGCAATAGGATCAGCAAAAGATCCAAATCAAAACCCCATCTATAATCAAGACCCTCCAGGGGCATAACCTCTGCCTTTCCACTCACCTGTTCTTGTAGTCCTCCACCAAATCCTGCATGTTCCTCAGCTCCGAGTCCAGCCTCACCCTGTCCCCCGACAGCGTCTCCAGCTGCTTCCGCAGGCTGCTGATGTAGCCCTCGTACACGGGCTCCAGGTTCTTCCTGCAGCTGTTCACATCCAGCTGCTGTAGTAGGCTCCACTTGGTCTCCAACACCTGGTTCTGCTGCTCCAGGAACCGCACCTGGAACCCAAAGATGGTCATGACCCAGAATCCCCATGCTGTTGACTCTCAAAAGTGGGGAGAGGGCTCCAGAAATCAGATGCAGTCATTCTAGTAGGGGATAGGGCAGGAAAGAGCAAGTCTCATTAGAGAGTGGTTTCAGTCTGGGGGGATCATGCCTATCTGGGCCTCTAGGACAAGAAATAAGATCCAGTCTAAGAGAAATCAGGAAGTGTTCTTAAGCAATGCTGTAACTGCCTCCATGGTTATCATGTGATTGAGGGAGCGTCTTTTGCTATAAATGCTGGTGTTTTCAGAGTGGAAGGAAATGGGAAGCAGGAGAGAAACAATGACTGGGGGATGGCATTGGAAAGTTACTCCCATGGTTAATATGTTCTATCTCTTGTACAGCCTAAATGGCTCTTGATTGGCTTGTTTCTTTGGTTTTCAGAGTGGGCTATGATATCTTTACAAGCTTCTTTCCTACTCAACCAAAGGTTTTACATTTTGGGGGCTACATAAGCTCAGGCACTCCGCTACTCACCAGCATTCCTCTTCTCACCTATCTCTTTAGCTTGGGGGAGAGAAGGAAATATGCTAGGGAAGAACACACTTGGAGGAAGAAAATGGGATGGTAGCTCTGTGTTTTCTACTCCTGTCTTCTCTCCTCTAATGACTTTTTTCCTCTTCCCGAGCATAGTGGTGAGGGACAGGCTCTACTGCTGCCTGTTCTAGCAACTGGGGCGCTTTCTTGGCCTTCCTCTGTCTGAGTTTCCTCATCTGCATGGCAGAAGGATAACAGAATCATGGGTTGCACATTGATAAACAAGAACCACTTGGGACAGCACCAGGCACTGAGGCGTGTCAGTGATTGTTAGTATTATGTCCCCATCACTCATGCCCTAGACCTTCTGCTCCAGTTGGAGAGAAGAGAAGCCCATTCCCCATCTCCTCCCCATTCATTCGGGTCACTAGCTCAGAATCTCCAGAGATATCTTTCCTATCACCCAGATTTCTGAGTACCCTCCACACACATACAGAACACACACATACAACTTGACATGCCCTCTTTCTAAATATTCTCCCTCAGGCTCACCCTTCAAATTTCTGGGCCTTTTCAAACGTCTCCTCTAAAAACCATCCTAGCTTACAACTGTATCCCACTTCTTACCTTCCAAGTCCTTCCCCACTCACCACGCATCATGTCCTCTGACACCCACTAGTCTCTGTCCCACTAGTGACCCTGTCCTGAATGTGTGTCCTCACCCTCTTGTCTGACATTGAGAGCCCTCAGATGGCCATTCCACTCTCCTCCTGCCCCAGACACCAACCCCCTTCCCAGGGTCTCCTCCTGCAAAGAAGGAATGAAGCTTTGCTTTATGGGGAGTGAATGCCTGTCACTGTTCGAAGGACAACCAATCATCCTCATCACAACCCTACTGGGTAAGAGCCACTCCTGTGCCCACTTCACAGATAAGGAAAGGGAGGCTCAGAGGACTAGCTAACTCGCCCAAGTTCCCACGCAGCTGTCAGTGGCAGAGGGAGCGTCCCTGTGTACAGCGGTTACCAACGCAGGAACATGTCCCAGGACCCACCTTGTCAATGAAAGAGGCGAACTTGTTGTTCAGCGCCTTGATCTGCTCCCGCTCCTGGACACGCACTTTCTGAATCTTGGGGTCCAGCTCCACGTTGAGGGGGGCCAGGAGGCTCTTGTTGACGGTGACCTGGGGGATGCCACCTGGCGGGCACACAGAGGGACACGCAGGGCCCAGCCCGGCGCTGCCAAAGACCGTGCCCACAAAGCCCCCCAGACGGCCGCCAGTGCCCGCACAGTGGCCCAGCGCGAAGG